TCCTCTGTCCACTCTCTTAACCGCCTCGTTTTCTCCTCTAAATATCCATTCACGTACACTCCCACTAACCTCCACCATTCTCCCCCTAAACTGACTTTAACTATCTGAACCCCTTCTCTCCTCTCTACCTTTTCCTACCTTTATCCCTACGATCATTCCCCCATTGCCCTCCCTCTTTTACTCTTCCTTCCCGCCTCCTGCACTTCCCATACATATCCCTTCGGCAACCATCTTTGTATCCTCTCCCATCCTTTCTTTTGTAACCACGTCTCACTCAGAAACGTCACATCCCATTCCTTTAGTTTCTCCCTAAAACCCTCCTCCTTATTTTCCATACCAGCCACATTCCAGTAACCTATTTTATATTCTTCACTATCTCCTTTCCTCCTATTCCCCCTCTTTCACCCGTATTTTATCCTTCTGTTCACTTCTTTCTCCCCCTCTCCCTGCCTCCCCCTTCTTCTAAAAAACCTCTTTCGCTATCTCCGCCCCTATCCCTCCTCCCTCTCCCCTCCCCTCCTTTCCTACCTCTCTTTTCTTCCATTCCCTTAACTTATCTTTAAACTCATCCCACACCCATAATTTCCCTTCTACCCACATTTTCATATATCCAACCCTAACTATCTTACCTTCCCTCCTATGCCTTTCTGCTTCCCTCTTTAAAGACCACTCCACCCTCCTTTCTTTTTCCGTCAAGTTATCCAGTATCCACTCTCTCCTATCCCTCAACTTCACCTTCCCCTTCATCATTTCTATTTTCTCCCCTACACTTGCAAACCTTACCCATACCATTTCCCTCCCCTCCTTATCCTTATTCCCCAGCTTCCTTATCTCCTCTATTTTCACTATCGCCCCCGTTGCTCCCACTATCTCTTCCACTTCCTTTCTTACCCCTTCCATTCTCTACTCGTTTACTTTTACCCCTTTAATAATTACATTCCTCTTTCTCTCCTCCCTCTTCCTCCTTTCTCCTTCTAACTCTAACTTCTTCATCCTTTCTTCTAATCCCTTTACCTCTCCCTCACCCCTTATCCCTACCTGCTCCATCCCCTCCCCTTCACCCTTCTCCCTTCCTCCCTTCTTCCCTTCACCCCGTCCACCCTTTTCTATATCCTCCATTCTTTTCTCCAGTCCGTCTAATCTTTTCCTCATTTCCTCCATCCACTCTCTCATCTCTTCTCTATCCTCCCTCATTTCTCTCATCTCCCTCTTCATTTCCTTAAAACCCTCCTTTACCTCCCTTAATATCTCCTCCAGTCCCCCCTCTTCCTTTCTTACCGACGATCTCTTTATCTTTGCACTCCTTTTATAAATTTCTCCCTCCCTCGCTCCTATTTCCTCCTCCTGCATCTCCTTCCTTTTCTCTCCTCTCTTAAATGACTCTAGTATAGGCATAATGTTTGCCCTATCCCTCACTAAGCTCTCAACCTTACTCGGCCTTCCCACCTTCCTCTTCTCCTCCCTTATCCCCCCTCTTCCTTTCCCTTCTCCCTTCTTCCCTCTCCCACTCCATTTCCCTCCTGCATCCTGTCTTTCTCCTGTCCTATCATCTTTATCTTATATTAATTTCCCGCTTCACCACTTATTCTCTTCTTCTCTACTTCCAAGTTCTACCACACAGCGTCGTTGTCTCCCCTTCCTTACCTGCTTCCTCTCTATTATCTATACTATCACCGTTCTCGACCCGCTCTTTCTTCCACCCGTCTAACCTCCAAATCCCGCCCGCCCACCCCTTATAGAAATATCATACTAAGAATCATTGATAATTACTTATTTTCAGTATTAAAAATATTGTAATAAGTTATTTAAGGATAATAAGTTATTTAAGGATAATAAGTAATTATCAATGATTCTTAGTATGATATTTCTATAAGGGACTTTCACCTCTGTCTCCTAACTCCCTTCGCCCTGCCCTTTCCCTTCACTCTCGCAACATCACTTGCCCCTTCCCTATCCCCTCAGCACCTCACCCTCCACCACAACCCTCCTTATCTTCAGCAATTATTTCTCACCAAACACACTTCCACACACACGTCAATCACTCCAGCTACCGGAAACAGAAGTCCCTACTATGGATGTCTCCTAAACATTAACTTTGATATCCTATAGATATTTAGATCTCGTTTTGTAGACATTTAGATATGTTTTGTAAGTTTAATGGATATTTATTAGATATTCGTGGATACCCCTATTATCCATGGAAGATATTTCATAGATATCTATTATCAAATCGAGTCGAAACGTAATTTATATTTCATTACTTTACAATATATTAATTGCACTTTAACAACTGTGTCTGGCTCTTATATGCTCTCTGCTTCTCCATTATTTTTATTGTTTTTAAGACAAGATGGCCATAAAGAATAAATGACCTATATTTATATACATATATATTTTATGTTCAAAATTCTGTACCTATTATTTTATAAAATAATGAAAAAAACATAATTTGACATATTCATTTTAGTATAGGATATTTATTATATCCCACACAGCACGTAATATCGCAGAAATATCACAGCAATATTATATTTTCATTGCAATATTACCAGGGAATATAACAGAAATAATGCTGGAATATTACTAAGATATCACAGTAATATTAAAATGTCCGCGGCAAATGCATCACAGTAATATAATGGTGAAAATCACAATGATATTACTGTGAGAAAATCATAATATTTAAAAAAATATACTTATATATTCCTACTTTTTTCATGTTTCATAAACATACTACTTATCGAAGGTTGTCAATCCTTATAGAAATATCATACGAAGAAATATTGAAAAATTATTAGTGATTAAATATTACCAGTAATTCAGTAATTTTTTAGCCAGTATTTAATTTCTGGTCAATACTGATAATAAACTCACTGTTAAATATTGATAGTAATCAAATACTGAGAATTATTATGCAAAAGTAAAAAATGAGAAAATCATAATGTTTACAAAAATATATTTATATTCCTAATTTTCTCATGTCTCATAAACTACTAGATATCAAAGGTTGTCAACACATTCCAAACTTTCATGAATCCTCCTGCGATAATTTCGATCCCAAGCGGTATAACCGCTGGTCACCCATCCATGTCCTGACCGCATTAAACTGTTGCTTAAACCTGACGATCGAGCGCACACGCGGTGACTCTGATGACTCCAACGATGTTCTTACGATTCATGCTTATATAATATATCCTTATAGTGTTCACAGTGTAACGGCCTTGCGTTACGTGCGGGATAGTCTTAGCCGGTGTGGTCCGGGTTTCGTGTGTGAAATGAAAACCAGTGGTATAGGTGATAATAATGTGAAACTATATTCTACTTTCGAAGCTATTTACAATTATGTACAGGCGACGTTACGCCGTTGGCGCGTGGTCGCGTTTTTGCTCTCGTCGGGAGCCGTTGTTGTCGTCTCGCGATCAGCTGCGAGCGTCGAGGTGCGCGAGCGGCAGGCGGGACGCGGTCGGAATTGTTTCCTGATACTCTATTGTTCGTCGTTCGGAGTTCGTTGTCTCATCGGCTTTAATCTGTTTATCTATCCTGATCTTTCCTTGCTGGTTTAAAGGCGCTCGTTGTCGCCGTTATCTTACGCCCTGTATGCGTTCGCGATCGTAGGTGTTAGCGGCGTAGCGTGAGGAGGAAAAGGATGCCGACGTCGCGTATCCACTTCGGTCGACGGAGCGAGGTACAGATAGGAAGCCGACGTCGCGTATCCACTTCGGTCGGTAGAGCGGTCGCAAGGAAATGATGTC